TATTTTTAAATTATATAATATTCATTTATTTAAAATTGAGAGCATATTAAAAACAAATCTTCCGCAGCTTCCGCAGATTTTTTATATAAATGAATAATAAATTGCATAATATATATACGTATAATAAATTGCGAAATTGTTATGAAGAAAGCGTAAAATATTTTTAAATTATATAATATTCATTTATTTAAAATTGAGAGCATATTAAAAACAAAGTATATAATTCTTCCGCAGATTTTTTATATAAATGAATAATAAATTGCATAATATATATACGTATAATAAATTGCGAAATTGTTATGAAGTATTACATGAAAGCGTAAATAGTAAATAAAAGTTTATGATTAATGCTGATATTCTAAAAATAAACAGAGAGAAAATAAGAATGTTTTTTTATATCTGTAATTAGAAAAAAGTAATAGAGGTCAGTAAAAGCTGTTGCAGAAAAATAGATATATATAGTCACGATAATCATACGGCTACCGTGCTCTGCACTAAGGGGTGCTTTCTAGTCTGTAAAAATATAAAAATGTTCTCTGAGAGAGAAACCAAGATACTGGCGCTTTTTTACCGGTTGAAAATTTTGCATTTTTTCGGACTCGTTTAAAACGATTCTTATTTCATTAATTAAATAATCTTGCATAAATTACACGCCTTCGCGTTTATTTATAAATTTTATTTCAACTAATCGTAAATTTTTACGTATCGTATGCGATACTTTTTCCATCGTTTCCATCGTTCTAATCTTACAAGCTATTAAATGTGAATATTTTATCAGTAGGAAGATTCAGTTCCACGCGTATGCGAGAGTAATCGCGTTCTTTTCATAGAAAATCGCTCTCGTAAGAAATCAAGGGCAATTTGTTCTCTGGAATTACCATGTTTATCTCTTTTTTTTCGCATTAACGTATCAAATATCTCACGATAGACTCCAAATAACGCCACGTGGAGTACTTTGTAAATATAGAAATATAATTTCTTAGACTTGATTTCAATGAGATACACGACGTGTGGGTTGAGCGGTAGATTATTCCGTGATGATCGTTTAGTTTGAAAAAATTGTCGGGAAAAAATGAAAAAAAAAACAATCTCAGAGAAAAGAAAAACCGGAAGAAAGTGAAAGAGGGTCGTTGAGCACAAGTTTTCTAATTGAAGAAGTCAGACTCGCGAACGGGAAAAACTTGTCGAAACAATGAACGTTTTGTCCATCATTCCGATGAAACTACCCCGGAAGAAAACTTGGATATTGTGAGCACGTCACGTGCCGTCACGCGGGTTAGCAATACTTTGTTCACGAGCAAAGGAACGAAAGTTTATCGTCATTCCACCGGTGCTGGTGCAATATATTATATATATATATATATCGTAACTTTGTTACCATCTTTTTAAATATTCACCTCTTCGACCAAGGGTCGAATCATTTCCATCGCTCTCCCGGATATGGCGGTTAAAGCGGGTCAATACCACTCACCTTGTAGACATCGAAGTTCTCGATAATGGAGTCGAAACACGTATAGAGGTCATTCAGCAGATCGACCACCTGCAGAGGCGTGCTCTCAGCCGACAGACTCGTGAAGCCCACGATGTCGCTAAAGTAGATTGTCACTTGGTCGTATGTCTCGGCGATTACGCTTTGTCCGAGGATCAGCTGCGACGCCACCGATCTGCTCGCAGAACAAACACATGCCTTTCACAGACGACAGGAAACGAAAAAAGGTCGGAGGGATAATGGACAATTTCGAGGGGGTTAACGTGGCAAAATGATTTGAACACGCATTATAGCACTCTAGTTATTTTAATTTTGATAATAAATTTGTAAATTTTAATTTTTTCCTTTTTTTTTTTAAGATATGGAAAAAAATAATTTTTTTCTTTCGCAAGCAACTTTTTTAGAAAAGATTGATTTTAACACGATGGTTTTTACCACGCGATATAAAACTGAGTTTCCAAAAGTTAATTAAAAAATGACCGTGCGCGAGATTAACGCTTCCCACACGTTCCTATTAGATTCTAGATTTAAAACGCAGTGAAAAAGTTTTAATTGACATATATATATATATAGATATATATATATATATATTCTTTCCTTTGACCAAATCAAAAAATCAACGCAGAGAGAAACTAAGGCAAATTAATAGAAATTATAGAGATCCTATACGATATAATAAACATTAACTAAATATAGTTTTATATTACAATATTAATATAGATCTTATACTTTTAAAACTCTGTGAAAATAAAAAACTATTTCATCAAAGCAAATTTAAAAAAAGCAAGTAAACCACATAAAAGGACAATTCGAATCATTTCGCAAAAATCGATTTGTGCGACACAATAATGTATCATAATGTAATATCGATTAAATGTGACACGAGATGGCTCGCTAACTATATTACTGGCCCTCGACAAAAGAGTTATCACTCACGAGGGACAAGCGATGATAAAGTTTCCGAAGCTCTCAACAGAATTTCCTCGCGCTCCCTTTTATCTTTGTAAAGTTCATTAAGTTTCGCCCACTTGCTTGCGAGGGGTTACACAGGGTATGTTTAACCGCGCACACGCCGTAAAGAGAAATATTCTCGTTTAAAAAGCGAGTAAAGCCTCTTTCGGTCGCGTATATCCGCTCTCGTTCGAAGAAAAATCTCCTCAAAGAGAAAATACTTTTGACGTGTTCGCATCGATATCACGGTATACTCGATCAACCACCGCGCTCATACGTAACGTTTTCAGGAAAATGGAAAAACCCAGTGTTATATTACGCCATAATAATTATGCCGATGACATGCCACTTGCATCGGGTTAACAAATCATTTCGAAGCTTCTTGCATTTTGCGTTGTCCTAGCCGTCTCGCGCGACCTCGTATATAATGAATTAAAACGACTCGCAATTTCTCGTATAATTAATCTTGTCGCAGTTCCGCGGATTGTATTTCTCGATGGCGCTCTTAGAAAATTGTCCCCTCCGTTCTCCGTTTTCTTATCGCTTCACACGATTTTATTCAATTTTTTTCAAATCAATTTCAATTTCAAGGTTGACCAATTTTCGATAACTCTTACCGTTCAATCGCGCCCCGTCGCGTGAGCAAATCGATCCGACCGATTTATATTATATTCGGGCCATTTCCATCGCACAATTTCACGCCGGAAGGGATTTCTCCAACCGTTAATTTACGGCGCGTTTTTGCATTTTGGTGTAAAGGCTATTTAATATCTCGATTATTATTCCTCGCATTTGCAGTAATTAGCGGTTTTAATGTTCGGTATAGAATAAGCTCTCGTGCGCGTTTGTATCCGACTGATTTACGTGCATATGTATATTAAATTAACATATTTCTACCGATAAAGAGCTAAATAATAATTCACGTGGAAAAACGCCACAGTGCTATTGCAGACGCTGGCACGAAAACAAGTAAAAAATCAATTCAAGCTGGTCACAATACATATATATAAATTTTCAAATTCTGAATATAATTTAATTAATCAACTTGTTAAAATCAATCTAATAAATAAACAATCTTATAAAATTATTAACAATACTAAAAACGTTTTAATGTTAGAAGAGAAACTCAAATAATATATCAGATAATATCGATGTATATGTAAAATAATGTATAAAACAAATATTTTTTTAGATAATAAAATACTCTTCAAATCAGGTATCTTTTACGTCAAATTTGTTCAAAGTATCTGAATATAATATAGCTATCTGAATATTTACAGCCTTCTACTAAACACGCAGAGTATACTCGTAATTCTCCGCAGCAAATATAGGCGGACAATCTTGTTCTTTCTAAGACAGCTCTCTTTTTATTTACGTTTCACGTAACTTACTTTGGTAGTAGCTGGTAAAGAAGCTCCTCGCATTTACGTTTCTCCTCGAGATAGTCCGCCGTACGTTCCTCCACCAATGTTTCTAAATTTGTGGCGTATTGTTCCATGCGAGACAGCAAATTATCCAAGATATTGCTGCTCTCATAGTCTCTGAAACAAACAAACAAACCAAGCATACTTAATATTTAATCGTGACTTCGCGAGGAGGGAAAAGATGAAAGCGAGTAGTGAGTCGCTGAAAATATTCAAATCATGATATAAAATATTAAACTGGATATCGCCCAGTGGCACAATCGGATACCAATACAGCCGAATATCAATCGTGAACAATGACGTGGAATCTTCTTCGATTTAATCCGTGAGCTATATCTACACCGCTCAATTCACGAGGAGCATCCACAATTGGATATATAGAGGATGGGATGAACCGCAATCGAGACACAGCGAGCCATCACAAAGACAATAATCCAATCGCCGCGATTGCGGTCGGACAAACGTCATGCCTATATCACGCAAGCAGGTATGAGAGACCGATATCGACGATTGTTTGTGATCTCGTGATAATCGACTCCTGTGAAAGCCGTTACCAAAGTAACCAATTTACTTACAGATTATTGAAAATCAAATCATTTGAAAATTATATTTCATATCTCGACAATCTTACAAATATTGAGATTATTCATCCCGTTTAAATGATGAAGAAAATTATATTTACATTCAAATCATTACCTTGACTCTATGTACCATAATTACGGAAAATGTTTTACATTTTTCCAACAGTAATATCGTGCTTACATATATTTCAATACAACTCCTAACGTGATAAAAAAGAATCGTCTTATTCTGGAATAAAATTCTGCATCTCTTAACAAAATGAAAATTACCAAAAGAAAATTGCGAAAAGAAGAGGCATCCATGATCGCGTTTGCTTTTCAGAAATAACATCACATCTCGACTAAGAAGCATGCAAAATTAATGAGTTGCTTTTAAGTTCAGCATTCTCTTTGACGCGAAACACAGGAAATCAAACAAACAAAAAGCTTTGTGTTTTTCCAGTAAAAAAAAAATCTTAAGATGCAATAAGAATTTAGAGGCATTACACGATAAAGACAGAAAATAGTAAAATAAATTTTCTGACAATTATTAACGAAAACTTGCAGTTGATTTATGGAAATTAATTATTTTTTAGAAGAATATTAACACACACACACACACAGAAAATAAAAAAATAAAATGAGAAAGAAAAATAATAACTACCTTAATATGTCATAGAAAATATAATTTCTGCTATTTAAAATTATCAAATTAAAAACTATGACTTCCGACCGATAGAAATACCGATTTTCCATCGAAAATGTGTGAGTTTGAAGTGCCAAGATTTTTTCGCTAACTTTTGTGAAGGAATGAACGGAATGTGACTATTTTTGATAGCAAGATATTACCTCTCAGGTCATCGGAGTGATATAACCGACCGACTGATATAACACGCATTCTTGAGGATAATAGAAAGGGCCGCGTGAAAAATATCGACTTTCGCTAGAGTACCATTTAGTCGGCGTCGAACATTCGGCCATCGATTATTCGGCCGAGCTTCGTTTGATAAAATAACGGCGAATTCGATAAAAATATTCTCCGGCACGCAGTAGCTTACGCGATGTGTATGTGTGTGTGCGAACGCAAATTTTTTCTGCAAGAGGATTACAAAATGTAGAGAATACTGAATGCGTTTGATTTACAAACTTTCTCGAATATGAAAAAGTAGAACGCGATTGTATTTTTCTTTTTCATTTAGCAATCATTCATTTAATTCTCGTGAAATGTTATTAGACATTACATTACATTTAATGTCGTTTATTTTTACAATATAAACCCTCTCTTGAAAAACTTGCTTAACACAATACGTCACATTACTTTATACATTTCTGACTCATTAAAATTCATAATGTTTTAAAACTCGCTTTGTGCATGCTACTTTACTTCAAAAGTAAGCTATTTATCGCAAAGATACATAGTAGAAGAGATAATAGTCCGTTTTTATAGCGTTTCTAATCTATGTAAAAAAAAAAGACAACTTGACCCATTTGATAAAAAAATATTACATTTGTAAGCGTGTGGTGTCCGCGATAAAAATAAGTTTAATAGATAATTCAAACACTATCGATCCGAAAATGAGGGATATTGTATTTAAATAGACAAAAATTAAAAAAGCGATGCAAGATATATTCGGCTTCAAATATATTTTAAGAAATAATCATTTATATTCATAAATATATACATATATATAATTATATCGCGAGAAATAGCTATTTTGATAAAAGCTGGCGCCTCGATATCTTTACAAATCATCAATCGTGAGAAAATCGTAGGAAATAATTATTGTATTAGGCTTCTCTTCACCCTAATCACAATGTGACTAATACGCATACATAACAGCGTCGACAGAAACAGGCATCAAACTTTGTGATCTATGTATGTATATAGCGACGCTAATATTTGCTTGCCTTGTCATTCGCGCAATGGGAATCGAACGAGTAGCATGTGAATCGCTCCGTCTGTTCGTCGTATTATCTCTCGAAATACGATAGCGACAAGTACTCCGAGATGCGATCATTCTGTACGAACAATTGAAGATATTAATCGTTTTGTAAATTGATTTATATCGAAGCAACAACTAATAAATAAAGGAAAAGGGAATAACATTAACCGGTTATTAATAATCAATTTAAAAGAGAATGAATATTTCACATATAAATTAAATATAATAATGTAGTAGTACATTTAATGTTTTGTGTAGAAGGAAAGAAATGTATTAAATATTATATTGTGTTCGCCTTATGTTCGTCGCCTTCAAATATCATGCTATTGTTTATACTTGCTGTGACCTTGTTATTCGCTCGACGAAGCTTGAGCGAGCAGGTAGGGTCGTGAAACGTTTCGTGTTGGATATTATCTCTCTAAATACGATTATTTCCTACAATGGTTACAATTAAAAACAATCAGCGTGATTAATTAATTACCGCAATTAGTGACTCATAAATATCAAGACGACGACCATTTGATAGATATTTTTGTAGATATTTTATGTGATTAATATGCTTCAAGTACGCACCGAAGTGATAATACGAGTGATTGAAATAACGAAAAGTCGTGATATAGCGTTCTCGTTTAATAATAATAGATCTTCGGGATTTTCGCGTTTAAGAAATATATATTGCGTATATACTGCGCGTATAATATTGAATTTCAATTATGTATTTTTGACGTTTCATCATGCATCTTAATTGATCATTAATTCGGCTCGCACGTTATCAGGATAAAAAGTCGCTGTCATTCTCATATATTTTTCGGTTATTGATGAAATGTCACAGGGGATGCGTCGATTCCAGTCGAACGGCATCACGACATGTTTAACTAGTTAATATAAATATTAATCCACAAATTCGGTGTTTGCACATCGTTATAATTTGTTAAAATGTGATATTTATTCGATCGAAATCTGTGCAAATGGACTGCGAATCCAACCATATTTTCGAACAAATCCGCAAATATTTATTTTAAATTTTAATTTATTTTGCTTATGTCATAGTAAATGTATAATATTATAACATAACGATTTGCTTTAAAAATACGTTAAATTCTTTTTTATTAGTGACAGAAAGATTAGTTGTTATTTTATGTATTTTATATATAAAAATAATATTAATGTTATATAATGTACAGTGTATCCCTCTTTTTTATGACAGTATATAATAGTTAATCACGTTTTATTAAAATTATAAAGTGTAAAAAAAGAGAGCTCGAATTTATCCAGTATAAAATTTACGACGCGCGAAATAGAACAACTTTATTAATAATTATGGAACTAGAAAATATTTAGATGTCGACGAGTTAATTTGCTGAACGTTAATTATTCATGTTGTTGAGTGCGTCGCTAGCACGGCTTTTTGCACTGTTCACACAAGCGGCAAAATTCGTTTCGTTCAAAACTTTTCTGAGATGTTGAATAAATTCGTAAAGTCTTTTCGCGAACTACTTTCTAACAATATTTTCAAAAGAACTATATATGTAAGGTTTTTGTTTCCTTTTCTGATCTTTTTCATGCCCTTAGAACAAAATTGTTTTAAAAGTCTTTCAAAAAGAATATCTTTTTCTTGCTTAGTTTAAACAACTTACTCTTTATTCCATATAATAATTGATATTTTTAACTGCGTTTGTGTTTTGCATTTGTAATGATATGATCCAAAAAATATAATTATTGCCATGAAGATCAATCATATACATACATATAATCGGTTAGTAATGTATTTGTATTATATTTTATTGAATTATAACAATTAAGCAATATTCCCAACATGCAATATGATTGCATATAAATTGATATTATTATCTAGAATTATATAAATATGTATTGTTTCATGTTTTCATAAATCGCTTTCATAAATGGAAAGAGCAATATAAATTTTCTCGTGCGGGTAGATAAATCCAAACTGAGAGCGAAGAAATCTGCTGCCTTACTCGCAATCCGTAACTGAAATGATACGCAAATTGTTCCACTACGCTCTGTTACAGTACGGCTATGTAATTTATGAGACGGAAAATTTCGCGGGAAATGTTCCTTCTCAGACAAAATTATATCTACGCAAAATCCTTCGACTAATCTCGTAACATTGGCAAATGTTTTCAATAACAAAACAGTAGTAAATAAAATCAAATAAAACATAGTCAATAAATATAAAACTCGTAAAAGAGAGATAGTGAATAATAATATACGTAAATTATACAAACCATAATATTGTATGTAAATTATACAATTATTATTTTTTTTTTACAATTTTGAAAAGAACAGCAAAAAGAAGTCCATGTCAGTCACTTTTGTTATCTGAAGAAATACATTCTGAAAAGGTTTGCGTGGGAAGCTCGCATTTCACTTTGTAATCTTAACATCGGGCTGGCAATTTTCGCAAGTTCGTTTTCGTAATTCCTTTACGAAATATCGAACATAATTATCTCGCTCGATCTAGTTTGCGACTTGTAGCGTAGCACACGTGCGTTAATATTAACGCCGAGCCTATCCTGGACTATATAAAGCGCACGTGCGCGTAATTATGTAGAGAGTCGCACCATATAATCGTCTTTCAAAGAGACACCGT